GACAATAGCGTAGTCAGGCAAGCCGAGTCGACAACAACAGTACAGAACAGTAGACAGAGAATCACAGGTCACGGGCCGGGTTCAGCAACGGAAGGTCAGATCGAAGGAAAACACAGAGAATGGTCTTAGTCACAAGCCGAGTCAGAATACCAGAAGAGTCACGAGCGTATACACAGAGCTGTAGCAAGACAAAGACACAAGACACAAGTGCAAAGAGCATGTGCGGATCACAGGCTTATATGTACTCAGCCACACCCCTCTGGGGGATGGACCTCAGAGACCTGAAGGCATAAAAGCTTCCCACCATGCTCAGCAGAAATCCAAGATGGATGCCCGCACATGGAGTAACATAACCTCTGGGAAAAGGTAGGACCTTGACAGCGAGGTAGCATTCCATTTACTATGCTGAAGAGAAAAAATTGTGACCAAATGCTATTTTGATGGCAATCCAAAGCTCATCCCTTATTGCAGCCAAAACAACCTAAAAAAGATCTTTCTTTCAAGTTAAAAATAATTGTATGGTGGTGCTTCAGCTGAATTTTAGCCAAGTTAAAAAAAAAAATCTTAAAAAAAAAATTAAAAGGATTTTGGTTGGCTCTAAATTACCCAGAATTATTAATTAAGTCAGTCAAATTATTTTATAAATTATTGCTATATTTGCAAGCACCTTTAGCTGACTAAATTAATTCTCCAGGCATTACCTGGCAAAACATATTATTTTTGGAGGTACTGCTGGATAAATAATTCATAATTCATACAAAGCACAACATTCAGTATGTGATAGATAAAAATATCAAAGCACAAATTTGGAAGTGGACACTTTCTCTAGGTGATAGCAATACAGTATTTCACTCCCAGCTGTTACCCAGGAGAATATTAGACGCAGAATTATCAGAGGGATCTCTTAACTAGGCAATAGCAATGAATTGTTTCATTCCCTGCTAATTGCCGATCTCCTCCACTCTTCCTACTACTCCATCCCCCACAGCTTTTCCTCCCGTACCACTATCCCCTCCCTCCTAGATTGTAAGCTCCAAGGAGCAGGGCCCTCTAACCCCTCGTGTAATGCACTGTATTGTTATTGTACTGTCTCATGTATTGTCTCCCATTGTAATGTACAGCGCTGAGCAAACTGTGGGTACTATATAAATACTGTATAATAATAATAATAATAAATTCCCAGCTGTAGACCAGCAGACATGTAAATAGAATGGAACAATCTGTGTTTCCTGCAGCTGATGACCACAGGATAGGTTTGGACAGTTATTAGGAACAGACTGGAACAGTCTGAGTTCTTGCGGCTGAAGACCACAAGATGGATTGCACACAAGGCATAATGGAGCAGTTTGTAACATCCCCAGCTGAGGACCATAGATACAGTGAACTGCAGTTCGGGAATCCCAGTAGAAGCAAAGCCAAGGGCTACATCCAGGGGATGAAGTAGTCCAACAGCCAGTCAGGAAGACTTCAGGGCATAGCAGCCCTCTGAAGCACACAGTTCCCCTTCCTCCAGGGGAAGAACAGATCTCTATGGACTCCCAGCTACTTACCTGTCTCCCACCCACCATCTGGGCACACCTCCCCAGGATTGGCTGGGGCAAAATAAGACCCCAGGCTGGGAATTTTATTTTCCCCACCCTGAGTTCTCAACAAGCTCAGGTGGAATCAATCAAATGCCAAGACTGTGGAGCCAGAACAAACCAAACCAGCAGATCACAGCTCCTCTGGCTACAGAGCAAACCACACTCGATTTACCTAGCATTCCTAACCTTGATGGATGCTACATCTGACATCACTTATTGTACTTAATGATGGACCTACATTGCTGGATGACATGTCTGACATTGAATTTTTTTCTTATTAAAATCTTTAAAATGTTCACATTTTCAAGATAGAACATTTCAGACATTCCCAAAATGAAGCTTTAAAATCATAAGGTAAATATTACTTCTAGAAGTATACAATCTAAATTAAATGGTTATCTCCATTATCAAACATGAGAGACAAAAAAGTACACCTCTAGTGATAGAAACAACTTTGTTTCATTAGTATTCTACTAGCTAACCGGAGCAGTCTGATCACGACCTCCACGCAATTTCCCTACAAATAAGAAGCACTTAACATGAAAGTGGAGAATAGAGAATGAACTATAGGAAGGGGGGGGGGGTATGGGAAAGGAAAGTGTAGGAAGGAAAGGGGGGGATGAAGTTAAAGTTTTATATAATGGGGGGAGTAGGGAGGGCAAAATAACCTTCCCATCTGTTGTGGAAAACCAAAAATTAATATAAGAACCAATGTACATCTGAATTGTTCTCCAGTTGACTGGTACTGGTCACTGAATAAAAAGCTATAGGTTTAAGGCTCAGATATGAAGTCTCACATAGACATTATATTAATACTTTGTAAAAGTCAGAGGAGGTGAAATCTATCCATAAGGCCCAAATATTATAAAATGTAATGTAGTTATCAGTAAATTGATGCCTCCGCTCTTCAGCCTCCTTTATTTCTTGCACTTTCAGTAGTCATTTTCTAACTCTTGGAACTACTGTAGACTTTCAGTAGATTGGCATGAGGCACTTGCCATCATTAACCTCCCTGGTGGTATGATTCTTTCTGATTTTTTTGTGCTGAAAGCGGTACCATTTTTTTGCATGGAAATATGTAGTTTTTTTTTATTGTAGGCTGTAATTTTTTAGGAATAACTCACTGAAATCTGTCCGAACAAGAGTCTAGTAAACATTCCGGATATGATAAAACTTGAAACACGAAATCATAAATTATAATTTAATAAATAATCATAAAAAATAATAATATAATAATAAATTTAATTCAATAATATAATCAAACCAAAAACACTAAAAATTTGAAATACAGAGGCAAATTCGCACATCGCTGAGCAAAGTCGCAAAATCGTTTTCAGTCTCTGATGACGAATTTCCCCCACGAATCATTATCACTGAATTCTGCAAGTGGTTCTGATTTACTATCACTGTTCTAAAACCGCTTTTGACGTAAAGGGACGCTTTTTGGACGCCATGGACTTTTCTAAGTTTCCAGGCAGAAAGAACAGTCAAAATGCAGGCAGGGCACAGGACAAAGCAGTAGGGACAAATATATGTGAAATGCATTGAAACAGCAATGACAGCAAAAATTACATTTTTTTAAAATTTCAAATTTCCCGCCGGTTCCGGCGCCCGTACGTCCCGACGTCACAGGGACCGGAACACAGAAGCCGGATGCCGGCATCGGCTGGAGGAGATGGCCGGGGACACTGCAGGGGACACATCGCGGGAGCGAAGGACAAGGTAAGCTCTGCAGGGACCCCCTGAGCAGCGCCGCATGGTAAGCCTGAGTGTAGCTCGGGGTTACCGCTCTTGGTATTGAAATTTTACCCCCGAGCTACACTCGGGAATACCACCAAGGAGGTTAAGGAGGTGAAGTATCAGCGATCATTTGTAGATACCTAATGAAATTATATAACAAGAGGGTCCTCTGATGTTGAGTAACCCTTGCAATCAGGTTATAGATCTCTGCCCAGAAGGGTCTAATGAGGGGGCATTCCCACCAGAGAAGTAGGAATGTCCCTTTCTGCCCACAACCTCTCCAACAGTGCACAGAGATTGTCGCTGACATTGAATTTACTTTGATTTCTGGCTGCAGCAGCCAAAGTGTAACCTGTACTACAAATGACAGTCCTTTACCCAAGGTACATTAAAAAAAACAGCAGCTACCGCTGTGTGTCAAGGTATGCTGCACAGCATTGGATAATAATGTCACAATGTTATAGTATCCCATGGCTTGGCAAGGATGAACAGATGTCAGATCAAACAACTTACAGTGCACCTCTGGCTGCAAAAATTAAAAAAAACATAAACATGCATAGAATCCCAACCCAAGATTACATCATTGGTTATGTCTCTTTGTCAATGCCATTTTACAAATCATAACCAAACCACTTGCATTTCCTAAAAGATAAACACAGAATACATCGGCATGGTGGGCTAAAATAGAAGTGGATTTATTAAAGAAATTGTAAAGGCCGTTTAAAAAAAAATCGTCCTCCTGCAAGTTAAGAGCATAGTGTGTTGGCATGCATTGCATACTAGCATATTACGAAAGACTTACCTTAAAACAAAGCTATTGACAGGGTTTTTCCATCTTCCTACCAGTTTGGGCTGAGGCTGAGCTGTGATGAGTTCACTCCTGGACATGAGCACAGGAGCTGCGATCACGGCACAGAGCTATAAGGGGACAGCATGCTATCCTTTCAGAGCACAGTGGGCATGCGCCAGTGACATTACTGGCTGCAGAAGTAGTGAAATCTTTTAACCGCATGCCGCGCAGCCACTGTACATATACGGCGGCCGGGGCGGCACTCACAGGCAAAACCACGTTTTAAGACGTGTGTTTTGTAAACAAATAGGGGGCGCGCGCGAGGGGCGCCGCCGCCCTATTTGTCCCGCGGATCACCGCCGCAGATGTGAGTCGCCGGGTCACAGCCGCTCGTTAGCGGCTATGTTCCGGCGATCGGCGGCAAACAGTGACAGAGAGCACAGCTGCAGTAGCTGTGCTGTCTGTCACTTCCCTGTCAGCTCGAGGATGAGCTGATCGAGAAAGAAGAGTTTCTCTTTCTCGATCAGCCTTGTCCCGCCCAGTACACACCCCCGCCCCCTAGTAAAACACTCCCCTCACTCCTATAACCCTTCCCTGCAAAATAAAGTTAACCCCTTCCTCCCCATTGCCATTAGTACAGTGTCAGTTTTTTTTTTTTTTCTTGCACTGATCACTGTATTAGTGTTTTTGGGGATGTCAGTGACCCCAAGTCAGTACCCCCCAATGTCAGAATGTCCGCCGCAGTCCTGCCATAAGTCGCTGGTCGCTGCCATAAGTCACTGATCGCCGCCATAATTTGCTGATCGCCGCCATTATTAGTATGAAAAAAAACTAAAAATCCCAGTATCTTTCCCGCCATTTGTAAACGCTATAACTTTCACGTAAACCAATTAATTTACACGTATTGGGTTTTTTTTGTAGCAAAGACATGTCGCAGAATGCATTTTGGCATTATGACTAAATTTGATTTTTGCATTTTTTTTTACTGGACATGTTTTATAGCAAAGAGTCCAAAATATTGTTTTTTTTCCTCAAAATTGTCAGCCTTTTTTTTTATAGCACAAAAAATAAAAACCGCACAGGCGGTTTTTTTTTAGCAAAGACATGTCGCAAAATACATTTTGGCAGAAATTTATGACTAAATTTGATTTTTAAATTTTTTTTTTTTTTTTACTGGACATGTTTTATAGCAAAAAGTCAAAAATATTGTTTTTTTTTTTCCTCATAATTGTCAGCTTTTTTTTTTATAGCGCAAAAAATAAACGCACAGGCGATCAAATACCACCAAAAGAAAGCTCAATTTGTGGTGAAAAAAAGGATGTAAATTTCATTTATGTACCGTATTGCATGACCGCGCAATTGTCCGTTAAACTAGCGCAGCGCTGTATAGCAGAAAAATGGCGTAAATTGCAGTATTTATACCATAGTTTGTAGACGCTATAACTTCCCACACAAAGCAATCAATATACACTTATTGGGATTTTTTTTTACCAAAAACGTAGCAGAATACATTTTGGCCTAAATTTATAACCAACTTTGAGTTTACTATATATTTTTTATAGCTGAAAGTAAAAAATATTGTTTTTCTTCAAAATTTTTGGCATTTTTATGTTTATAGCGTGAAAAATAAAAAGCGCACAGGTGATCAAATACCACCGAAAGAAAGCTCTATTTGTGTGAAAAAAAGGACGTAAATTTCGTTTGGGTGCAGCATTGCATGACCGCGCAATTATCAGTTGAATTAGTGCAGTGCCGAGTAGCAAAAAGAGGCCTGGTCATTAAGGGGGGTAAATCCTCTGGAGCTCAAGTGGGTAAACCAGGGCTCAAAATTTCAAGTCCTGAGCTACTAGCCAGGCCTTAAAAGTTACTCCCCAACCATTGCTCCAACCAACCCCTACTCTGCCCCGCCCTTAATTCCACCCCTAAACATGCCCTCGTGAATTATCTCATGAAATGATTCTGTTAAATGTTACCGACATTACATCAGGGTCCCCAGAGTCCCCCTACATTACATCGGGGCCTCCAATGTCCCCCTAAACACTCCATAATACTTAGACCATGCACCGCATACAACCCCCCATAATCTTTCATTCACAAAACCATAACTCTACCAAGCATATCCTACCTTCTATCAAACCCAGCAGTACCTCAAATGCCCCATACTCAACCACCCATAATAACCACATGATCCTGAACCTGTCCAAACCACCCATCCATGTATGTTTACACACAGACACATGTACACACACAGGCACATGTACATACACACACACCCACACAAAGAGAAACACCTGTACACACACACACATGTACACACACACACACACGTACACAGCCCTATAAAAAGTTGTAGTACTTTGTTACCTTCACTCACAGAGCTGGCTACTGAACTCTAGGGGGAGGCAGAGAGCACAGCACGCACTCCTTCCTTTGCTTTCTCTTTGCTCAACTGTTGACGGCTCCCAGTGCGAGTGACAGAGTCGGCTCTGAGTTACGAGCCTCAGCAAGAAAGCACTGGGGTACACACTCACCCCACCTTATTTCCATTCACCAATGCGAGCAGGCAAGTGGGATTTTCTAGGCCTGTCCTAAACGAAGCACATTTAGGAGATTTTCCTTGTACCTATGGGTAGGCTTTATTATGAGCTGACCTGTAGGTGCAAGTAAGCAAGTGGTGTTTACTACCACTTTTAAGAGTAAAATATCCTATTATTAGCCTTCCCCATAGGGGATGCAGAAGGCACTGTTCATAGTCATCAGTAAATGATCCTTGAGACAGGAATAGGAAAAATCTGCAGTGGGAAAATTTGGTGAGGATGGACTTCTGGAAACCTGTCAGATCAATAAAGCAAAAGTGTTCTCATGGCAAATTTCAGTGTGTACAAGTTTTGGGTATTTTAACCGCATTCTGAACACAGTTTAACACAGTTTAAGTTTGAAGTATGCGTTAAAATGCAAAACCAGTAATCACATCCTATATGCAGATACAAAGTTATTGACAAAGTTTATTAAACAAATCATGCAGGATATTGCATGACGAATAAAGATCTTAATGATAAAAGGGAAATATATATATGATTTTGTTGTTACTGAAATCGTGGATGTAAGTTGCTACAGACTATGCTTAAATAAAATTGATTAACTCTAAATTTATAACATTATTGTTTATTATTCCCAACAGCTTTCTAGAAATGAGAACACAAAAGACTAAACGTGTGAACTGCTAATTCAAGACATTTATTCATAAAATGATGTTCACGGTGTGCACTGATTACCACTGAATTTCTAATGCCTTTCACACAGCACTGCGCTTAATCTTAAGTCATCTTTATGAATAAACTATGATTAAATGCATTACAGGTCCTGTGGTACTCATAGCATGCTGTGGCCAGATTTTTCTGAATAAACATCTTGTGTTGGAGGCTCCTTATAGTGTAAATATTGTATTCTGACATTTGTTTAAACCTTGCCACACTTCAATCTGTTTTTTTTTTTTAATAAAAACATTTTTATATGTACAGTGTATACATTTTTTAGATAATTACATTTCTCACTCTTAGAACATTTGTGCACTTACTATATTATGTAGTTGTATTGATTTACTGTGTCCATGCTTTGATCGCTACCTCTTGCAGAATATTGGGCATGGCTTACAGGGGTTAAATATGGTTAAACAGAGTCTGAACCAGGGGCGGACTGACCATTTGGAAACTCGGGCACTGCCCGAGAGCCGGGGTCAGTAGGGGGCCCCATGGGATGCCCCTGGTACCTTTTTCATAGGCTTTTTTGAGTTTGGGCAAGGACACAGGGGACCCATGATCCCCTATTGCCCGGGGGCCCCATGAGTTGTCAGTCCGCCCCTGGTCTGAACCTACTTGCATTACATAATGCACACAGTATCCATGGGATGCCCCTGGTACCTTTTTCATAGGCTTTTTTGAGTTTGGGCAAGGACACAGGGGCCCCATGATCCCCTATTGCCCGGGGGCCCCATGAGTTGTCAGTCCGCCCCTGGTCTGAACCTACTTGCATTACATAATGCACACAGTATCCATGGTCCTTGTAAACACACAATACTGCTTACAGCTAAAATCTAGCTTTACATTTAGTCTTGCACAGTTGTACAGGTTCCTCTGCTGCAATGAAATTGCATATTCTAATTTCACTGCATAGTGTGCATTAGAAGTTGTCAGAAAAAGCCCTCCTTGTTTCCTTGGTTGAGGATGTCTGGAAAAATCTAGCCGTTTCCACTCCAGCCTTGCTACCCCTGGCTCACTCCTTTTATTTTTTTAATTTAAACTCTTTCAACCACGGAGTTTCAGCATCGCATATACTGTAGACATTACCTAGGGCAGTCTGCCTGAGCAAACAAGGCAAAGGTCAGTTCTTTGGAAATATGTGAACCCTGAACTTAGCACCAAACCCTAATGTCTATGGATGATGAATTTTGCTATTTTTCTGTCCTTTTTCAATGCTAATTTGAAATCCATTGTTAAAAATTTGGTATGGATAGCTTCCACGAAAGGATATATAGCAGTTCAAAAATTTATTTTTTAGAAAATACTTTTCAGCAAGGAGAGAATCTTTTCATGTTGCTTAAAGTCCAACTCCATTCAAACTGAAATTCCTCCCTTTCAGTGTGGCTGTGCCTATACTGCAAGGGAAAACTGCAAGGGTAAGGGGCTGGTAAAAATGATTTATCCTCTGCTCCCTTGTCAAGCAATGCTTCCCTAAGCTCAAGAAGTTGACTGTCTCTCTGCATCATCACCTTGATGGTCCAAGGTTCCCTGACATCATCAAGAACAATGCACGATCCATACATGACACATGGATTTACCTCCATTATGGCCTACAACACTGGGGCTTTGGTCCTCATTTCCTTGGTTGGGTCTCATAACTTTATGCCAACCCTAGAGCATACCTGAAATATGCTGGATATAAGTCAGATCCTGACTGTGAATCCCCATACAGTAAATCTATGGTGTTAAATGTCTTTCCTGTGATCACCTCACAACCTCCCCTATATAAGTGGACTGCCAACCCTACTGACCTATATACCACCAACTATCCCCCCATGTTGCTTCACCTTATTAAACTGTTGACCCAGTGGTCTGCCCTTCTTCTGTCTTGGATAGGTGGGATAAATGTAGTTAAAGTGTCCATTCTACCTTAAATACTGTATCTATTTTGTGTTTTACCCATTCCTGTCATGTCACATTTTCTGAGGAGTCTGCAGTGTCGGGTGACCACTTATATCTGGGGTATGCTTAAACTTCACCTTCTTAAATCCACTAAGCATTTATATGTCCAAAGGCTTCAGGGGGCCTTGGGCTGAAAGATTGCAACGCAGAATAGTCCGGATGGTGGATAAGCAGCCCCAAACATGTTCCCACCTATGCTAAGTATTACTCTGCAGCTCACCTAGCGCAGTTTCCAAAATATCACTTGAGGAAACTCCACTTTGTCTTGTGGCACAGGAACCTGGGGATTGAGATCCCCTATCTATGGTAATTTGCTCATTCTATGTCCACCAGAAAGTAGAGGCCTTTACTAACAAATCCTGGCCCTATGGTGGATATGATGTTTTGGAATGTGTCATAGTTTGCAATCTCCTCACAACCCCCTACTTTTCTTTTCTCAAGAATCATTAATTTTACCCAGCTTGGACCTTTCCCACTTCTTTCCAAGCCTGGTCAGATGTTAATCTTCATTTGCAGCACCTGGATGGCAAAAATGGCCAGGAGCCCAGTACAACTTCCACATCCTTCCGGGTGAGAGGTGTCAGAATGCTTAAACAATTCACAACCCATGGGCTCCCTGAGTTTTGAACTCTTCTGATATCTCCAAAATAAAGCACTTTTATACTCCTTACTTACAAGATGGCACATTGTTAGTTCCAATACATCACATGTGTATAGCAAAACATTTAGAAATACTTGACTGATTTGTAATTGGGATTCCATCAGCTAAGGGCCTGGGGATTTA